ATTATTTGATACTTGCTATACATAAAAAAAAAAAAAAAAAAAAAAAAAATTAGTAAGTTTTTTAATTAATATATTTTTATCAAGTGAATGAACTAATTTTTTGGGATTTTTCATTTTTTTAGTCCCTTTTTTTTCTTTTTAAGAATTAATGTAAAATGTGTGTTATATTTTGCATGTTCTTACATTTATGCTTAAAACACATGATATTTTTTTTTTACTTCTACACTTTTAAATATAAATTTAAATAACCTTTTAAATATATAAATAATGTTACAAAAACAATTAAGGGAATATTTCTTTTCTTCTTTATTTTTATAAAAGGCTTAAGGAATTTAAAAAGGTGTAAATTAAAAGATATAAATACAAAATGAAAAGGAGATTAGAGCACAAATATAAAAAAAAAAAAAAAAATAAATAAAGACATTATATTTTAAATAAATATTAAAAAATTAAAATAATAAAATAAATAATTAAAAAATTATAAATTAAAAATTTTAAATCAAAATAAAATAAAAATTATATATAAGTCATAAAAAATATAAAGATATTACAATTTTCCTATACATTATGCATCAATCATAATATTCATATATATATATATATATATTTCTATAAAGTAATTATATAATACTATAAATATCATATATATTTAAATTTACATTTGAAAATTAAAAGTTTAGCCTTTTGTTAAATATGTGAATAATTTTTATATTATTATTAAATAAAAAAATTAATTTAATATGTTTAATAAATAAAAAAAAAAAAAAAAGTTTAAGTTTTGTATTTGTTTTATTTCTTACTTTAATTCCTTTTTTAAATGTATATTTTTAATAAAATGATGATAAAAAGAATACATATCTAAACTTTTAAAAATTAGAAGTAGTAATAAAAAAATACTATTTTTAATGTACCATATTAATAATTAAACTAAAAAAAATATACATGAATATTTACGAAGAAGAATTTATATTATTATTTAAATATTGTCTATATTTGATGAAGAATTTTCTTAATATTTAAGCCATGATTTTTAATTTGTGTTCATACTACTTATGTATTTTTTTTTTATTAAATACATGATATTTTCAATAAAGTTTTAACATAAATTATTTCTCGAAATTATATTTAATATGTTATTTTTTTATTAAGTATTTTTTTTCTTATTTTATATTTGTATGATTTCATATTAAGACACGATAATTTTTTTTATACTTTTTATGTTTTTTAATTTTAAATATTTAATAACTTTTTTTTTTTTAATATTAGTAACTCAAAAAAAAAAAAAAAAAAAAAAAAAAAAAAT